GAGAGAGAGTCGATTCTTTCTCGTCGCAGGAGACGAAGGCAGGCGGTGGAGGATGAGGAGGAAGAGGATGAGGGTAAGGGTGAGAGTAATCGGCGGAGGGTTGTTTCTATCATAAATATCTCCTAAAGAGAGAGAAAGAGAGTTGTATACATTTTCTCCTAATTTTAGGGAATATCCCAATAACCTTATTTATGTTGATTTGCAATTAAGAATAGAAGATTTGGTATATTTGCTAAATGTTTTGATTGACGCGTAATATTGCAAATAAATTGTTGTTTGGTAGTGTCAGGCGCAATTTCCTCTTTATTTTTTTTAATGTCAATTATGCTCCATTTTATTACACTATAACTTTTTAGAATTTTTTAGTACAAAAATATGCTAGCTAATTTTTTCAAAGATTTGTGAAAACCACAAATATGAAGAGTTAACTAGGGCAATGATCTTTCAAAATAATTACACTCTCTAACTAAGAGGAGTTAATTAGGGAGCCTCATCGAGGTATCCCCATCCTCTTCAATCTCTTCAAATCCTCAATAGACGAAGGAGACTTGGAGGGTGAAATAACGATAGGATGAGAAGTTGTAGTCGCAGAGGATGTGGAGGATGGAAACAATGGAGAGAGAGAGAGAGAGAGAGAAAAAAAAAAGAGGAGAAGAGAATATAAGAGGATGGACGAGATGTTGAGTCGGCATCGGGGGGAGATGGGCTAGATGCAGACCCGTGTGTTTCACGAGCAGTAGAGCCTCATGGGCCAGTTTATTGGGCTCGTGTCCCAGTGGGCAGGAGGACTCACAGACCATCACGCAAGGGCCGACGGGAATTACTTGTCACAGATGATGCAGGGCTTGCATCATGTGAACGAGATGGTCCATAGTGTTGGGAAAAAATACATTGAATTTTCCATGAAGTCGGATCTATAAAAGTGAAATGAAAAAGAAAAATTGGACACACCAAATTGATAACAGAGTTCGGCCAATAATGCCTACGTCTCCGGACTACTGCAGATATTTTATTAGGAGAAAAAAAATACACTCGTGTTTACAAAGCACTCTCAAACTCACTCACAACTCGCAACTCAAATACACACAGAAGCTAAAACTCTTGCTCTTGCTCACACCCTTTTTCTCTTTCTTTTCTCTCTTTTGGATGTTGTGTTTTTGTTGTGATTTGCTCAACAGAATCCATCTCTATTTATAGAGTGGAAGATCACAATTTTTCAACAACAGTGTACTCCATTTTATTCAACAAAAGACAGCAACATGACTGCTGCAATTGGGGCTGCTCATTATTTCAAAATTGGTGGATTAACAATCTTCCACTTGAGGACTGATTTCAATTTGTCCTCGCACCTCAACTACTATAGTAGTCTTTTCTGGTCTGTTATTCTAGCAAACCAACTGAAGTTGAACACAACTTCAGTTTGTCGATGGTCACCGCCTTCGTTAGCATATCTGCCAGGTTCTTGCTTCCTACAATCTTCTTCAAAGTCAACACTTCATCCTCAAGAAGAGATCGGATGAAATGATATCGTATGTCAATGTGCTTAGTTCTGGAGTGAAACACTGAGTTCTTTGCCAGATGTATTGCACTTCGACTGTTACTGTGCAAGACACTCTCTTTTTGAGTGAAACCCAACTCTGTTAACAATCCTTGAAGCCATATCAATTCTTTACTGGCTTTTGTCACTGCTACATACTCAGCCTCTATAGTGGATAGAGAAACAATCTTTTGTATCCGCGACATCCAACTAACAGCTGTAGCTCCGACAGTGAAAACATAACCGGTGGTGCTTCTTCGGTGATCAACTTCACCTCCAAAGTCTGCATCTACGTAGCCCTGTAACTTTAGATCTCATTTTCTAAAGTACAGACATTTTTCTGTTGTGCCCCGTAGATATCTCAAAAAATCCATTTGACTGCTTCCCAATGAACTTTTCCTGGATTTGACATAAACCTGCTAACAACTCCCACTGTATGACCAATGTCTGGCCTTGTACAGACCATCGCGTACATCAACCTTCCAATGGCTGAAGCATAAGGAATCTTAGCCATGAACTCTTCTTCTTCTTTTGTTTGAGGAGACTGATCCTTGGATAGATGAAAATGGCTGGCCAAAGGTGTACTGATTGGCTTAGCCTTATTCATGTTTAATCTCGGCAAAAAACGGTTGATGTACTCTGCCTGAGATAACTGCAAAACTCGCTTTTGCTTATCTCTCGTGATTTGCATTCTAAGAATCTTCTTCGTTGGGCCTAAGTCCTTCATGTCAAATTCTTTTGACAACTGCATCTTTGATTTTCTGATGTCTTTCATATCTGATCCCGCTACTAACATGTCATCAACATAAAGTAGCAAGATGATATAGCTGGACCCATACTTCTTAAAGAAACAACAGTGATCAGCATTGCACTTCTGAAAACCTTCCTTGTGCATGAAGCTATCAAACTTCCTATACCACTGTCTTGGAGCTTGTTTCAGGCCGTAGAAGTTCTTCTTCAATTTGCACACCATATCCTTCTTTCCTTCGGAAAAACCTTCAGGATGGTGAATATAGATCTTCTCATCTAGGTCTCCGTGAAGAAATGCAGTCTTCACGTCTAATTGCTCTAGATAGAGCTCTTCACTAGCCACAATACTTAACACAGTCCTGATAGTATTGAGCTTTACAACTGGAGCAAAAATTTCAGTATAGTCAACTCCTTCTTTATGCTGAAATCCTTTGACAACCAGTCTGGCTTTGTATCTCCTGGAACCATCATGGTCTTCCTTTTCCACTTCATACCTCTTCTAGTAACTTGTGATCCAATGCTACCGATGGACGTCAGTTGATCAAGTAAGCTGCTGTGTCGCCCAGAACTGCTTTGGTAGGCCTGACTGCACACGCAAGCTTCTGGCCTTTTCAGTCAACATTCGATTCATACGCTCAGCTACACCATTGTGTTGAGGCGTACCAGGCACGGTTCTCTCCATTCTGATCCAGTGCTCATAGCACAACTTCTTGAATCTGGTGGTTACATATTCACGACCCTTGTCGGATCTGAGCTTCTTGATCTTCAAGCTTGTCTCATTTTCCACCATAGCTTTCCAAATCTGGAAAGCTTCAAATACTGCTGACTTGTGTTTCAGAAAGTAAACCCATACTTTTCTAGAGTGATCATCGATAAAAGTCACGAAGTATTGCTTCCCACCAACGGATGGGATAGTCGTTGGACCCCAAACATCAGAGCGGATGAGCTCAAGCTTCTCCTTCTTTGGAGTTCTTCTACTTGTCTGAAAGCTGACTCTCTTCTACTTTCTAAGTATACAATCTTCACACATGTCAATTTATATTGACTGAAGGCTTAGTAATTTTCCTTTTGAGTGAATGATCTTCATCCCTTTTTCATTTATATGCCCAAGTCTTAGGTGTCATAGATTGGGATTTTCATTTGCTGTAACTGCAATCAGATGACATGCTCCTATTGTCTTGTAAAGAGTATCATTCTTCTTGCCTCGAGCAATTGTCATCGCACCCTTTGAAATATTCCAATATTCACCATGGAAGATTGTCGTGTAGCCTTCACTGGCTACCTGGCCCACGAAGATTAAATTTTTCGTTAGGTCGGGAATATGTCTAACATTTTTCAATTCCCATATAGACCCGCTCAACTGGATTTTTATTGCACCTTTCCCTACAACCTCACATGATTGCTCATTACCAAGGTAAACTTTATCAAGATTTCCAGGAACATAATTTTTGAATCATTCCTTCTGTAAGGTAGCATAAAAGAATGCTCCAGAGTCTAACACCAAAGACTCTTCTCTGTTCTTCAAAGAACATATCAGCATATCTCCTTCAGAGGCTGAAGCAATATTTGCCTCTTCTTTTGCCTCCTGATTATTTGGTGCACTCTTGCACTGGTTTCTGTAGTACCCGGTCTTCCCACAATTCCAGCACTCGATCGACTTTGAGTTTTGGGAACAACGATGATTTCTGGACTTGGATCTTCTTCCGTTTGATTTGTTGTGTCTGCTTACTTTGGTTGAGCTTCTTCCTCTTGACTGCAATACAGAAGAGGTCGATGGTTCACCCAACTCTTCCGTCGAATCTCTTCACTGAGAACCAAATTTTGAACATCATCAAATCTCAACTTATTGCTTCCCGATGAGCTACTCACAGCTGTGACAGTAGCATTCCAACTTTCTGGTAGGGAAGAAGAAGTTTTTAAAGCCCGTACTTCATCATCAAACTCGATCCCAACTGAACTCAACTGGGTTGTAACAGTATTGAGCTCATTGAGATGATGTGCCACCGGAGCACTTTCAGTCATCCGCAGGTTGAATAGTCGCCTCATCAAATGAACTTTGTTTGAGGCTGATGGTTTCTCGTACATGTTGGAAAGAGCCTTAATGAGGCCTACTGTCACCTTTTCTTTTGCAATGTTAAAAGCAACATTACGGGATAAAGTCAGCCAAATGGCTCCAAGAGCTTGTCTGTCAAGGAGACTCCATTTTTTCTCCTTCAT